TATATATATATATATATATATATATATATATATATATATATATATATATATATGTATATATATATTCGTATATAACATGCATACATAAATACATCCTTTAATACATATATACTTGTAATTATTTATATTTAGACACTTGCACACATTTATTGTAATATACATATATACATATATTCACTTGTTTCGTTATGTAGATTGTGAGCACATATGTCTGCATATGTGTATATGCCTTTTTTATATTTATAAGTACACTTGACGTTATTTTTTTTTCTTCCGTTTATTATAGGTAAATTTTATTAATAGACAAAGGATATTTTATATATCTTTGTATAAGATTTTGTATAGAAAAGAGATTTTTTAGATGTACAAAGTCAGAGGAAAAGTAATGGACTTAGATATGTACTCTCTTACTTAAATGAAGAGGAAAGAGTTGTAATAGATTAATGGATAGAATATTTAAGAGTGATATTAATACATGTTCATATTTTCCTTTGTCTTGTATGTCTTCAGAAAAAAAAATGTGGAGGTCTACATTTAAGTTTAGAATTAAAATGGGAAGTCTCATTGGAAAGGTCAGTTTCAAGGTGGGGATAAACATGAAACAAAAGCTGTTGGTTTGTGTTGTAAGTTGGGTGTGGCTTTTGCCCCCTGCTGGTGCTGTGCTGCTGTGCTGCTGCTGTTGCTGCTGCCTGCCTGCCTCACCAGGGCTGACGGCTCTTCTCTCTCTCCACCCCCAGGGATCATGCGCAGCTTTGAGCCCCTGCCGTGCCCCATCTGCCAGCGCTCCTATAGCTCCCCGGGCAACCTCAAGCAGCACCTGGAGAACATTCACATGTCAAGCAATGAGCTGAACTTTGAATGTCGCATCTGTGGCAATAAATTCAAGAGCAAGTGGTATCTGCACAAGCACCTTCACCGTGCCCATCACATACGTGGCCGCAAGGAAACCTAGGTGGCTTCCTTTGCCTTAAATGTGTGTGTGATCTGCAAACACCATCCTTCTCCCGCTTTATCCTACTCCCCCTTTCCTTCCTTTCCTCTTTCCCATACCCCTACATGACTCATTTAAAACCATAAGTGATGATGGTTTGTTGACGGTGGCTCTGTTTCAGTACCTACAACCACCCATCCACTTGTGATCCTAACATAATGTTTAGTGGTGTCTTTTGTGAGTGCATGCTGTACAACACTAGAAGAAATAAAAGCTGTGTGCAGCATTACAGCCATAGAAGGGGAATCATGGAATAAGTGTTGGCAATAGTTCCCCCTTCTAGGATTTGCCACAAGTGTGACCATGATTTGTGTATGGGTACATGTTGGTACTTTTGCATCTCTGTGCCACAGAAAAAAAGAAAAAAAACAAAGAATTACCTTTTTGATATGGTCTGCTATGATGAAGATAAATTATTTATAGGAACAATTCTTGGCATGTATCACATCATACTTACAGATGATGCAGTTCAGGAGAACTGGCATTTGTTCCAATATTGTATCATCTGTGAGCACAAAATCAAGGAAGGTTACGTGACTTTACCGGTGAAAAGATTTAGACCTGCCAGTTTTTAAGAAAGATATATTTATTACATATAGTACAGTATATAAACACAGTTGCACATTGACCTTGTAAATGTAATTGCTTGATATATGTTTTCAAATTGTTCATGCAGCTTTCTTCGAGTATCCAAGTTGCTTGAAGCTGCCTGAATATGGGATGCCACTATGAAGTCTAGTGATTTAATAGGCATACAAAGCATATTATCTACAACCAAAGAGCCCCTTGTACACAAATCATGTAATAACCCTTTTATTGTGAAGGAGTAATTTGAGGGTCAGGTATTAAAAAGGATTAGTGTGAGTGATTTAATTATTTTTATGCATGATAAGATATATACATATTCTTGAATGATGTCAGATTTGATTAATGAGTTTGAACAATGCAGTATATTTACCATGTTAGTTTACATGACATTTTTTTTATATACATAACAGACACTCATATATGCTGGACATTTACATTTAATCACATATATACACACACCAGCACAATTCCTTATTTTTCTTTGGAATGAGGCAATGACTTCATTTATAAGATATATTTATGATTTCTTTCTAAAGCTCATTTTACAAATTGGCTTTGAGCATAAATGGGATGTCCATGAAGAGACATTTCTTATAGTACTCTTTGGTGGATAAAACAGTTGGCATATTGACTGATTACTGAGCATCCTAAGTGCCCAATCCCCAATTTGCCATTAGTCACTGTCTTTGTTGTTTGATTGGGCAGTTCCCTGGCCATCAGTATGTTAACCATTGCCTTTTCTGTCTGCCCTGTTTCTGAAAGCCAGTTTACCCACCTGTTCAAACAAATTGTGTTAGAAGTGTTAAAGTCGCCAGTGAGTGACCAAGTAAATGGGCAGTGCAAGCAGTACAACGCATAACATGTCATAGTAGAAAGCGTAGTGACCCTTTTAAGTCATTCCAGTCTTGGTGCTGCAATAAG